TCTGGGTCTTTCCCGGGAGTGGATTGCACCAAGCCAGGCTGCCTTGCCTGGCACTTGCTGCCATGTGGCCTCAGGTCGCTTGACCTGAAGGCCTGAAGTTAGAGAGAGTGACTCTGGCTCTACATTAAGCTGACTAATGGGAACTATCTGCTAAAGATCTGTCTGGTATAACTGGAGAGAGTCACTCGGAAGATTGGAAGGAGGCAACCATTCTGTCCTTGGACTTGTGAGTTCAGACACTGAGAGATCTTACGGACTCTGTGTGCTTTTGCTACCCCTCTGGTGCTTGATAGTCAGTGTGGGTCTGAGAAAGGTAACACTGACTAGTGTTCTGAAGAGCTTGTCCAATTGATGCTACTGCAAAGGACTTTGCTCGGTTGCTATTACTTCTAGACTGTCGTAGTCTGCCATAATGGGCCTGTACCTGAGGAGCTCAACCTTGTTACTACTACTACAGCTAAAGGGACTTGGCTCACTACTAAGACTACTTGCTGCTATATGTTACAAGGAAGTCTGCTATCTGCTTTCAGCCGGGACTTCTACATTGCTCAACTGAGAGATAAGTTCAGATGTCCTCAATGTGAATAGTTCTAATTTTGGATTATCCTACTACAATTTCCCATCCCTATCCCCAGTTCTACAATAAAACTCCAAAAACAAAAAAAACTTAGACTGGTCATTAAAGACAACGAGCCAAAGTGTGTGTGTGCTTTGCTGCCGGGTGAATCAAAGGGAAACCAGGGCAACATACAAGCGGCCCTCCCAAGCGTAGCGCTACACATATAAAAGGCCAAATCTTCCCAACAAGGAAAAAGACACAAACAAAAGTTTGACAGAGGGTATAAACTTCCCCTCTCAGCCAAAACCTAAAACAAAAGGGATACTGAGGGAAATAGGAAGGATACTGATGCTAACCTCTTCTACAAAGGTTGGGTTGCCTAGGTTGCCATGCTGCTTTAGTAAATTCCAGTTTATTGACCTGGAAAAAATTGCAGATCATATTTTTTTGCCATCCAGTCCTAAGATTTGCCCAGCTCTGGCAGATAGGACAGCTAGATTGCTGGTCTAATTTTTTTCTTCTGTGGTTAAAGTGGAACTAAAGGCAAAGCTTTTTTTTTATTGTGGCTAGAGTAAGGTCATAACTGATGCCAGTTTTTTTCTTTTGCTTTTACTCTCATTGGTAAAGGTACAAATAGAGGAAAAATTGAGAGGGTGAATCCCCCTAATGGGGCACAGACAGAAAAAAAACCTGACAAATGTTATAATCCCTCTCCACTCTAGGCAAAAAAAAAAAAAGTTTGCCTTTAGTAATACTTTAGGCAACAAAGCCTGGGAACCTCCCTGCCCCAGCCTGTGAATAAGCAGAGGAGCAGCAAGAGAGGGTGGACCTAGCATTTCTCCAAGATCTCCAAAATTCTTTGTGCAGCCTATAAGTACAGACCTTATAATTTGTCCTCAGGTCATGCTTAAATTGTGGCCTCACCTGTCCCAACAAGCGTCTATCCTGTGATATGAATCTGGATTTGCTATACATCACCTTGGCAATTGCTGGATTCTGCTTGTGGCTGAACAGCAAAAGAGATGCTGCATCACCCTTGCTTTGGGGCAAGGTATGTCACCTACAGCCTGAGCCAAAGTGCTTTCTTCCCCATAACCAGCCATAGTACCAGTATATAGTACTCATATTACTCTTGCTTCTGATTTGATATGCCAAAAAAATGCTAAGGTCATGAATCAAGAGATAAGTTTTATGTATCTCTTTGCCAACATGATCTCAGCCTTAGCAAGGTTGTTGGAGACCGCCAATTAAACATTTTCAATCCAGAATTTGAGAACCTTGAGACAGAAGCTAGAGCCACTGTCAGCTTACATGCTCCTCCAGCTGTCAGATATTTTTCTTGAAGTCCATATTTATATGTCTGTCCAGGACATCCATAAAATGCTGCATCATCCAAGCAGAACATGATGTGCCTTGTGAGCCTCATTAAGGGGCAGCATCTACCAGAGGAGGGTTGTCAAGGGTTTTCAAATCTGCAAGTCTGAAATGAAGATTGTTAATCTATTTGATTCCTTGCTTCGAAAATTATTTCTTCAATTTAAATGATAAACTGTATACCTTTATTTCATGTGCTTGAAGTATTTCTTCTTCTTTCGTGGCCCCTTTGATGAAACTTACCACAGGAAGGCCTGCCTGACAGATTAACAAAGGGCTGTACCAAGGCAAAGTCAAAGCCTCCTATCTACTACTCATCTGATGAGAAATGGTTAAAATTGTTTCACTTAGACTCTTTTTGGGAGGATTGGAGGTGATTTCTCTAGGTGAGGAGTAGCACCAGGGGTGTTTTAGGCATTTGACTGGTTGAGGCCTGATTTTCAGAGGCAAAAGGCTTTAAGGTCTCTTGAAATACTTGTTTCAGTAGAGAGATATCCTGCTGATTGTAAGCCTACTTGTCTCTGGCTGCTTCCATAAAACAGTTTTTACAAGCTGTTTTCCTTGGTAAAGCCACATTAGCACATATGTTCTTGCTGGAGAGCAAAAGTGTCTCAAATGAGACCATTCTCTTCAATCACTGGAGAGTTGTCTCTCTGCATGAAGATCTATATCTAGCAGTGTCCAAAGTTTGAAATCTGCTTTTCAAAGAGCAGGAAGACCTATGTACTGATCTGGAAGGGTTGCAGATCCACAGAAACCCACGGTTCTAGTAGATATCAAATAAACTCTGTATCGCAAAAAGGTATAATGGGAGCCTTCACCTTCCTTTTCTGCTCTGGTTGATCTTTTGGAGTGCATGACATCACAGTATTCATTCTAAGAAACAGAATAATGATATGCATACTATTAGAATTGTATAAACTGCATAAAAGCTTAAACATAGATAGGACACAGTGGCAGAAAAGTCTACCTGGTGACAGAAGCATGACAAATTAAGCAGCAGGTACCTCCAAAAAATGGGACTGATAGCACCGTTAGGCAACAGGCTTACAATGTTGGCAGGTTTGCCTCACAATGCCGTCATGGTGTTTAAATCTATAGCCCAATCAGGCTTTAGTCCACTCCTACACAAGCATGCATAGGCTATCAAGAAACATTTGGAACACAATTTGCATTCCAAGCAATGGGACTGGTAGGTAGAAATGAGCAGAGCTGAGCATGTGTAAGAAACCGGGTCTGCTGGAGGCTTATGACCAGTGTCCAAAAAGAGTGGAACAGTAAGCACTAGCAGAAGCTGGAAAGTAGGCATGCACTCCAACCACGCGTAGACTCTGCCATCCTCCTAGGTTTTTTAGCTTTCCTGAAATTTTGTCAGAGAAATATGAAAAAACATATGCCAAGATGCCAGCCACGAGACTCCCATATCCAAACTCCTTTTAGCATTTCATCTGGAGGGACTTCACCAATCATTTGGTGGACTACTAGGGATTTACCCAGGTATAGTAGGTGAAAGTGCAACAAAACTAGAGCGTACTATATGAGATAAAAAAAAAATAAGAATGCTGTGCCTGAGGATGAGGGGGGGAGGAGGGGTTGGGAGGGGTACAAATTTAAAGATAAAGGTCCTATGAAAGTAGAGGGGGCAGAGACTACCCATCGGTATGCTGACAAGCTGTCAGGAAAGTGGAATTTCAAGCAAAACTCTTACCTGGATAGATTGGAAAGATTTGGGTGAATAGGGGAAGGGTTAAGGTGATTGTAAAAGTTTTTTTAAATACCAAATATGTCATGCTTAAAGCAGAACTCCATCCAAAAGGGGAAGTTCCACTTTAAGGCCTCCTCTTTCACAATTGGCAATCTTTTTGGGAGGGGGAGCAGGTACCAGATTTTGACAGGTACCTGTTCCCACTTAGGCGATCTGAGCGGAAGTGCTCCTTTTTCTCTCCCTCCCTGCAGTATTCGGGGACACAGCACAGGTTCCAGAAGACTGTGGCACCAATCACAGTGTGTAGTGCAAAACGCACATGCACAGTGGGCACCCAGCTGTGAAGCTGCAAGCTGCCATAGTCGGGTACCCACAGTTAAGATGTAGGCGCCAGGGACCAAAGACGTACCCGGCGCCCCCTCGGGTGAGAACATTGCTGAATACAGGGACAGGTATGTGTCTGTATATTAAAAGTTAGCAGCTAAAGGTTTGTAGCTGCCGACTTTTAATTTTTTTAAAAATAACTGGAGCTCTGCTTTAACTGCCTTATGCAATGGTATTACCCTAAACCTTCTCTTCTGCCAAGATTGTGCTTATTTTATCCTATTTCTACTCATACTAGCAGCTTTAACCATACCTGAGTCTGAGTTAGGTCGGCCATAGATGGTTTGAATCTCAACCGGTTCAGCAGGGACCGGCTGAGATTCGATTTGTCTATGCAAAGGCTAAAAGTACCCAACTCGATTGACATTCAATTACTGCCAGCAGCTATAGCCGCTAGCAAAAATCACTGTGCTCTCCCAGCAGGGTGATAAGGTTTTTTTTTAAATAACAAATGTGTTGTACTTTTAGCACCCTCCTAGTTTACCTAGGGGGGGTTAGACTCTGATGGCTAGTGAGGAGTTGATTAGCAGCTCAGGTGTGTTAGAGGTCAAATTTTCGTCAGGATTGAGACTCTGCAGGCCAGCCCCAATGGAATATTTTTTTTTTAATTTACACACCCCTGGTTACAGGAGAGGATCAGAGTGAGTACACCCTGGGCGGATGGAAGGAGCACCCTGTGGGAAACCAGCTTAGCCCTCTGCTAGTGACTGTACACCTTACTTAACCACTTGCCTACAGGGCACTTATAACCCCTTCCTGCCCAGGCCAATTTTCAACTTTTTAACGCTGTAGCACTTTAAATGACAATTGCGCGGTCATGCAACACTGTACCCATATGAAATTTGTATCATTTTTTTTTTTTAGACAGAGCATTGTTTTGGTGGTATTTAATCACCTCTGGGTTTTTAATTTTTTGCTAAAGAAACCAAAAAACCTGAATATTTTAGAAAAAAAAAAACGTTTTTTTCTTAGTTTCTATTATAAAATTTTGTAAATAAGTGATTTTTCTCCTTCAGTGATGAGGCTGCAGTGATGGGCACTGATAGGCTGGACTGATGAGGCACTGATGGGCATTGACAGGCATCACTGATGGGCACTGAAAGGCAGCACTGATATATGGCACTTATGCGCACTAGTAGGCGGCACTGAAAGACAGCTCAGATGGGCACTGATATGTGGCACTGGGAGGTGGCATTAATGGACACTGACAGGTGGCACTGCTGGGGCTACACTGATCATCAGGGCACAGTGATCGCCAGTGCCCTGATGGTCAGAGTAGATGTCCCCTCTGAGGAATGCCGATTACCGGCTCTCCTCTCGAGCTGTCAGCGTGACAGCTCGTGAGGACTTGAAATGCCGATAACCGGCATTTCCTTATTTACATGCGATCAGCTGTGATTGGACACAGCTGATCACATGACAGAGCTGACGTCTTCAGCTCTGTCCACTGATCGTGATCTGCTGTGTCCCAGGGACACAGTGCACCACCGATCACCGTGCTGCGCACCCCCAAGGCACGCACACGCGGTTAGAGTGGGAGGACGTCATATGACGTCCTGCCAGAACGAGAGAACCGCCTTGCGCCTGTCATTTCCTTACATGGCGGGAGGGAGGAGGTTAAAGGTACAGGAGCCAGATCCCCTGCTCAGGAAGAAAGTCTCCAGATTGCTGGGTGAAGAGGAGTCATCTAGAGTCTGGGGTGGTACAACTGGAGCTGCTGGCTAGCACTCCAACAGAGACTGCATATCAGAGAGAAGAAGCTGTGAATAGTTCAGGAAGTGGTCTTCAGATTTCGGTTCCCTTGGGCATTCTGTACACCCCTTACCCTATCCAAGTTCTAATCCCCTCAATAAAATAACAAAACAAACGCTCAAGGACTGATTTCTGCTTACGGATGGGAGATTGTATGGGAAATGCTAAATGACAGACTGTGCCAGACTATAGGGGGACCCAAATTCATCAGCAGTCCCCAAGGGGTAGTGCTACATATTCAAGGCTTTTTTTCAACAGAAACGTAGGGGGAAACGCAGTTCCGGCACCTCCAGTATTGAATGTATGTAATGGTAAGAGTGTATTGATGCTGGAGGATCCCTTGTTGCTGGGGGAAGGTAGGGTATGCACCACAAGCGCAATGTGTGTTTTAGAAAACACAGCCAGAAACACACATTTGTGTCCACATTCCCAGGATACGCAACACCGCAGCCTAAGGTCCCATTCACACCTTTGCAGCATTTGTGGCCCTACACGTGGCATAAGAAGGTCCAGCAGCTTTTGTGGTGATGAGCGTCACACAGGGCGGACTGACCATTTGGAAACTCGGGCACTGCCAGGGGTCAGTAGGGGGCCCAATGAGATGCCCCTGGTACCTTTTTCGAGTTTGGGGCCCCATGATCCCCTATTGCCCGCTGGCCCCATGAGTTGTCAGTCCGCGCCTGGCGTCACACAACAAAACACATTTCCTAGCCGTGTTTTTTCAGCCATTAACAATGGCACTAAAAGTGCGACACACATTTCTGTGCACGTCCCAGAATACACAGATGTGAATGGGGCCTCATGGTTCTTTATCCTCTATCACAGCTCGCCTTGTCTCCGTCCCACTGCCGGTCGTGTCCAGTCGCATTCCATGGCATGCAGTGTAAACGATCTCCTTCTCACATAAGCATTACAAACACCACCCACAGACCGCTCAGCTGACATCACACCAGCTCCTCCTACTTTCCTCAAACTCGATGGTCTTTAGGGCCGCTCTATCGCAGATGTACGCTACCTATGGTTGGCACGTAACGTCGAACGCAACACTTTCTCACGACACTCCTGGCACGTGTTCCTATTTTGCGGCAGTACTGGCAAGTCAGCAGCCGTAGAGCGTCGTCTTTTTGGGTCTTCCTGTGTAAAGTGCCGGTATCAAGGACCGGCCTAGGAGCAATCTGCAGCCATCCAGGTGAAAGAACGGCGGGAATAGGTGAGGCGGCGGCAGGGAATGGTGGGGAAGGGCGGCGCGGTGCTCGGACTTGTTATTAATGGGATGTGTGTGCCATGAGGAGGTATAGAAATGCCGGAGGCCTGGTCCTCCTCGCAGGCCCTGGTAGTAGCCATCTTCCAAAGTAACATATGTTAAGTTGGGTGTAGACACGTGAGGGCGGGAGGCATCGGTCTGGGCCATCCATTGGACGTGCCTCCGGGGTCACAGCTAGTTTTTTGGGGGGTAGGGGGAGTTGTGTCCAGATGAGGATTACTTTACCTGTTCCGCTCAGTCATTCATATCTGTACATGAAGTGTGCACTGCAGGGGTGAAAGGCATTTACTAAGCATTCACTGCAGGTGAATCTTTTGGATGCATGTGTTTTTTTGGGTGAATTTTGTGTCCAGACTTTCACGATCTACTGTTTGTCCTTTATAAGATTTGCTTTCACTGCCCCCACTTCCTGTTACGTGGCACCCCCACCCCCTCCCTCCGCTTGGGTGTATGGTGACACCTGTGTGTGCGCCCCTGATATGTAGTCAGCCAAAGTGGGCTTGATGGGGTGCGCATGCGCAGTGGTGATTGGTATCATGGGACGTGTTTGGGAGGGGAGGGTTCATCAGAGGGACTGGTAATGGCGTGCAGATTGCGTGCAGTTGGCTTGAGGTTTGGGAAATCGGTGGATGCACACCCAGGCTGCGGTGGTGATCGCCTGTATGGCCTGGTCACCCATAAATGTGCCTTCCATTGGTTTGCCTTTTTATGTGCGTTAGCTCACGGGTTTATGCTCATTTAAATTGCTATGGGCCCTTAACCCCCCCTGGAGGTATTCTCGAGTGTAGCTTGGGGTTAGCTTTCAGCACCAGAAGCGATAACCCAGAGCTACACTCGGGATTACACTGCAGCATTGCTCAGGGATCCCTCCAGCACTTACCTTGTCCTGCGCTCCCACGATGTCTCCCCTGCAGCGTCCCGGCCATATCCTCCAGCCGATCCGGCATCCGTCTTCCGGGTTCCGTTCCCTGCGAGCGTCGGGACGTACTGGGGACGGAGCCAGCGGGAATTTTGAAAATGTAAAAATTTGACACTCAGTACACTAAAATCTGATAGTATTACATTACTGTATCAAACCATTTCACATACATTTTGTCTCTAGTACTTTGTCCTGTGCCCTGCCTGCATTTTTACCGTTCTTTCTGCCTGGAAACTGAGAAGTGTCCAAAAAGCATCCCTTTAGGTCAAAAGAGGTTTTAGACCAGTTAGAGAACAGCGATAGTAAATTAGAACCACAGAATTAGGTGATAATGATTCGCGGGGAAATTCGTCATCAGACACTGAAAACAATTTTGCGACTAAGCTCAGTGATGTGCGAATTTGGCGCTCTATTTCAAATTTCAGTGTTTTTGATTTGATTACATTATTGAATTGAATTTATTATAATTATATTTTTTATTATTATTTATTATATTATGATTTATGATTTTGTCTTTCAAATTTTATCATACCCGGGATGTTTACTAGACTCTTGTTCGGACAGATTTCAGTGAGTTATTCCTAAGAATTACAGGCCTACAATACAAAAAAATATTTCCATTGAAAATAATGTACTGCTTTGAGCACAGAAATACTGACATAATCAGACTGCTAGGGAGGTTAAAACATTTTCAAAACAATGTTTTTTTCTCAATAGATTTGCGTTAATGTGCATTACATTGCCTTAAACCTACATCATAAAAAAAAAAAAATCAATAGAAGCTGTATTACATGCTCTTCATAAGTACGCATTCACTATGGAATTTGTTTTCTGTTTTCTGCAAAAAACCTGGTTAATCCTGCTGTTCTTTACCTCCCCCTTCTGTCTGTAGCCCCAGTACAGGTGGGGATTTTGCAGAAAAGTGTTGGCAGCTACTGCATACGCTCAGTTTTCAGTGGGTTTCTATCCTAAGCATTTCCTCCCTATCACATCTGAGCAACCCTAGTGGCTACAGTGTAGGTATATACAACAAAATTACAGCCAGCTCCCTCCTCCTCCATGCCCACTAACCAGCTAAACACAATGGGGTGGGATATCACATCTTGTTTGATGGAGGCTTCACCTCCCTGTTATTCTAAGACAGGCTGGAGGGGCACAGACACAGCCTGTGACTATCTGATAGCCCACACCATGTTATTGCCAAAAAAAAAATAGATTTGATTTCAAATACATATTTTTATGATTTTAGAGAGTTTACTGATATTTATATATTTATACCCTGTATCCCAAAGGAAGTTTTTATTTTTTGCTTGTTTTTGCATGTGACCAGCAGTAGAGGGGTAGAAGCTCCTCCTGCGTATATTTCCCTGCAGGCTGGGAAAGATCTGGAGCATGTAACAGCTGTATATCAACTAGGAAGAAGGTACTTAGATGTGTGGGATTGTTAAAATAATTACAGTGCCATCATCCATGTAAAGATTTAACAGGATTAATGTCAATTAAAATATCTGTTTAGTATCACTTTAACCGCTTCCTATCTGCCCTATAGCAGAAGTACTGCCACAGGGAGGCCGCCGCTGTCAGTCACCGGGTCCCGGCCGGTGATTGCCGAGCATCTCCCGACGGGGGGGGGGGGGGGGGCAGAACTGTTTGTAAACAAAACAGTTCTCCTTCCTGTTAGCTCGTGCACATTGCTTTGCAAAACAGTGTGTTTACAGTAAAGCACTAACACACTGCCCCTAGTAAAACAGCACACAGTTAAGTTCTAGTCGCAGTGCCTTCATTGGTGGGTGCAGGCAACAATGCTCGGGCGGCTGGTGCAGTGTGAAAGAGACCCAGCGAAGGCTGTGGCTACCACACCATAGGAACAGAATGGAGGGCGCTGGTCTGCCCCCCGGTTCCTCTGGCACCGGCTCCTCAGGTAGGCTTGGGGACTTGCTGTCTTCCTCTTGCTGGTTCCTGGGGGTAGTCTTTCTCCCCCAGCACAGTGATGTTTGGAATGAGGAGCCTGGGCTTATTATGGTCTGCATTGTGTTTTCTGCTGCTTGTAGATTAAAGCCCAAGACAAGACACAGAATCAGGCCCCCTAAAAGGAAGTGTGCAGTTTGTGCGGCAAAATTGGGTTCAGCTTGGGATAAGCCCTTATGCCGCAATTGTGTGGATAGTCTAATTGAGGATGTCGTTTACAACCTGCCATAGGGTTCTCCCTTCCATTAAGGATGTCATGACAACTACGTTGATCATTTAGATCCTTGCTGGATAGGAAGCAGATGCCACTGGGGCCTTGGACCCAGTCTGCGGGTACTCCGGTATCTGAGGCATTGAGCCAAAGGGAGAAGGATCCCAGGTTCCTTGCAAGCAGCATCTGGCTCAGAGGAGGACGATGGAGAAGGTTGCTCCTCCAGGGGTTCCAGGTAAAAATTAACCCTTGATGTAGATGACCGCCTTAAGGCTATCTATGAAATCTTAGAGATTGAGAAGGACGTAGGTTTTTCTAAGCATGACCTCATGTATCGGGGTCTACATGCAAAAAATACTAGGG